GACTATTAAAAAAAGTATACAGCTGATATTGTACACTTAGCATTTCTGAGGTGAATAATTATACTAAATGCCAACGACTCTTATCAATGGTGATCTTTATGAAAAAAATCATATTTTAGGTGTATTCTTTACACAATTTCAAAAATCAGGTAAATAGTATGAAAATTCAAAATTCAAGTATATTTTTAATAAATTAAAAATATTTATTAAATAAAGATAATAAAATCACAGTTAAACGATTATGTTCACAAATTCATAATTATAGGTCACAGTTTGTTACAAATCAACAAAATAGCTGATCACAAATTCCAAAATAACTGGTCACAGATTCCAAACACCCCCACCATCGGTCCGAATTCCGCATCAATCTTGGTCACAAATCACCACCACCCAATCGGCGTTTGCACTACACCACCGCATCACCAAACCCTATCCCTGATCCCATTCTACCACAATACTTGTTCACAAACACTCCCCATCCCGCCACAACACCATTACAACCATCTCTAATAACACCACCACATGATACCACCATCGTCGCTATCCACCAGCCATCGCACCAAGCCAATCTAGTCGCCACCTGCTCCTCTTCAATAGAAAACAATACTACACCACAAACATCACATTGCCATTGAAGAACATGCCACAAGCCACTGCAGAACAACACAAAACTGCTGCAGAGATTGTAGTGGCCTATCGCCTTGCATAGTGGCTCTTAGATCGCCGATGCACATCGCAGTTATTGAACTGGAATCACCTTCGTCGAGATGCTGCAGAGAACTCTCAACAATCCCTGATGTCAGAGCGTCGACCGACGACGAGTGCTTCTCAATGGCGATGTTGGTAGGAAGAGGGTATAAAGAGAGAAGATTCAACTCCGATGGTAACGTGAAGAAGGTATATAGAGACGATTTAGCGTCATTGTTCATAGGGACAGTCAGAGAGTCCTCGAGATGTTGTAGCACCGCCAACCACGTACACACCTCCAGCGCGTCTCGTAGAAGAAAGCCGGATATGCAATGGCCAAGACATGGAGACGGGGTCACGGGAGAGGAAAAAGTGAAGAGAGAGAGAGTAGGGTTTTTTGAAAATGGTATTGGGATGAATTTGGAATTGAATTGGGATAGGTTGATATATTTTATTATTAATAATTAAGTCAATGACTGAATATTGAATAAAAAACTTTCCCATTTGATTTTTGCATTATGATCTTCAAATATCTGGTATTCCGTATTTTGTAATTTCCACCATCTTTATATCATTAGCATTTTTTATTCATCTTATTCTTTTCTTTAAACATTTTTCTTTACTAGCATATCTCATCATTATTCGTCCAAAAATACAATTATTATTTTTTAAAGCAAAGAACAAATATTTGGTCTTAATTTTATTTTTGAAATTTTTGATTTATTTAAAAATATAATGGAAGAACATATCTATTAATCCATCTTAATGAAATATTTGAACGGAGTCAATTTTAAAATAAGCCCCAGTTTGCTGGTCTTAAAATTTGAAAAACCTAGTTTTGAATAGTAATTTTTAGAGAATATGTGGTTAAAAAGTAAGAAAAATTTGGAGTTTGCGGGTAGAACTATTTTATGAGAGGATGTATAGTTAAAAATAAATTTTAAAAAAATGAACTTTTTAAAAAAATGAAGGGCAAACATTTATATTTTAAACTCTTCCAACACATTCTTAGCCCCGATTGATTCCCTCCACTCCACTTTAATTTATTTTTCATACTCATTTTCAGTCACATACTCAAACAATAAAATATTTTATACGCAAATTCAAAATACTTCCTTCTTTTTTAACAACATATATATATTTTTTAAAAATCATTATTTCAAAACACATTCCCCCCCCCCCCAACCCCCCCCCCCCCCCCCCAAAAAAAAGAAAAAAATGGGGCTCAAACATGCACTTAATGGAGGTGGAAGAAATAAATCTTCTTACAGGCCAAATGTGGATCCACTCTAGAAGAGATAATTGGAAATGGTACTAAACCAATAGAAGGACGGGGGGAGCGAAGAAAAATTGGGATGGGACGACAATAGATAGCTAGGGTTGATGGGGTTGTAAAGAGTGGTCGGAGAGGGCATTAAACTATTTTGAAAATATGGGCAATGACAACTTTTTTAACAAATTATCAGGTGTCAAGAATTAATTGATCGTTGGACAAAAAACATAGTTTAACCAGTTAATGCATCGTTGTCGTCTGTTATATCTATAAAAACCATCCGTACTTAGAGCTAAATTCATAGTATTAATCACAAACATGAAAGTGTACGGACAAAATGGGAAAATAAGCTTATGTTTGCTCCCCATCTTGTTTCAAAAACTCATTTTTATAAAATTCATTTTCAATTACATATTTTTTCATAAAATAATTTTACATGTAAATCCAAAATTTTTTATTATTAACTATATATTTTTCAACAAAAAACTATTCCAAAATGCATTCTGACCCTCACCCCCCGAAATGGGGCTCAAACATGCGCTAAATGTTGGTCAAAGAAAGAAATCTTCCAGTATACAGGTCAAATGTGGATTCATTCTAGAAGAGATAATTGGAAGTGGTACTAAACCAATAGAAGGTCGGGAGAGCGAAGGAAAATTGGGATGGGACAACAGTGGATAGCATGGGTTGATGGGGTTATGAAGAGTGGTCGGAGAGGACATTAAACTATTTTGAAAATATGGGCGGTGACTACAGATGTGGATGATGTTCGTGGAAATGACGAGGAGTGTTATATAAAGAGATGCATGTTTGGCCCATATTCGAGCTTCATTGTTTAAAAATGATTTTTCCTTTAACCCATTTTCAATTATTATTCGGATCAATTTACACGCACATCGATTAATCTCATGAGACCCTAAAGTTTACAGTCGGGTACTCAATTCAATGGTTCTGAGAAAATTCAAATTAGTGACCATTGGGAAGTAAACACAAGACCTGACCATTGAGTCATTCCTTAAGGTAATGGCAATAAGTAAAAATTAAGGACTTTTTGTTACGATTAAAATATTTTTGTACCCTTCTCTTCAAATGAAATTAAGTGCTTGTTTGGTACTGATTTTTAGAATTAATTTTATGATCGTTAAAGGAAAAAGTGAGTCTTGCCAGTGAGTTAAGAAGTAAAAAAATGACGACTGATCATGTTAAGTAACGATTGAAAGATTAATTTTTTAGCTAGAAAAATCAAAACCAAACGGGGCCTAAAAGGAAAAAGTGAGTCCCGCCAGTGAGTTAAGAAGTAAAAAAATGACGACTGATCATGTTAAGTAACGATTAAAAGATTAATTTTTTAGCTTGAAAAATCAAAACCAAACGGGGCCTAAACCAGATAAGACTTTAGTCTTATTTTGTATTTTTTTCATTTCACATGACAATAACACATATCGAGTGAGAAAAAAATTAAAAACAAAGTCAAGGAAAGGAGAAAAAATTATAGAGAGTAGGGCTGCACAAAAAATCCTCAAACTGCAAATCGAACCGAAACCGTTGGTTCGGGTCTACTTGGACCCGTAGGTTTTTCCCCACTCAAATCGAACCAAACCGTTTAAAAATAGTTTGGTTTAGGTTTTGATTTTCAAAAATCGCACAAAATCGAACCAAACCGTTTTTAAATTTTTTAACTAAAACATTAATTTCATTAACTTTAAAATTTTACAATTTTAACTTTTTAGAAAAAAAATACCAATTTAGCAATACAAATTATAACTAGTCTATTGAAATAATTATGAAAAGTAAATTAGATTCATCATTAGTACCCTATGGTTTAATAAGTTCACGCGTATTTCTTCACTCGACATTTAAACTAAACTAAAATTATTCTAAAATCATATGAAAGAAAAAAAATATATTTTTTCAACAATCTAAATCATAATTCAACAAATTACGTTAGCAAATCACATCCAAAATTTCAGAACTTCTAACATAAACTCTCATTTCCCTAACATTTGATACTTGTCTGCCATTGTTAAACGGATCATCAGTCGCCTTTGTCTGTTACTCTGCTAATTTCTAACTAAATCGTATATTTCTCTCTTCTCTTTCAATAAGTCTCAGATTCTCATTCAAGCCATTATTTCATCGTTCTTCTTTTATCTGTTGTTTTTGAACTTATTATACATATGTGAGTTGTAGTTTGAATAGAAAAATTAATTTTTGTGTGCCTAGGTGATTAATGAACTTGTTCATCGTATGAAAAGAATGAAGGATGAAGCGTACTGATTGTGTGAAAATGTAAAGTTCCCTAACTAGTATTATTATCTTCTATTTTCATAAAATAGTTAGAAAATGAAATTCGTCAATTCCCAATAAACTGAAACTCTATCAATCTTTGTACATCTAAATATATCACGTTCAATCCTTATTTAACATCTCGCTAGTAAGACGAAAAGAGTTTTAACTAAATTATAATAACAGAATGTAACTCTACCTTTACCAGCTGTTATATGACAACATGAATGTCAAAAAAGAAAAGAAAAATAAAAAATGAAGAAATATATATTTGTTCTAGTAACATTTTTTAGAAACAAAGTTTGAAAATAATTTGTTTATGGGTTTCATAGTAAATATGAATATAATTTGACATTTAATATTATTAGTTCTCGTTTAAACTTATATATTAACTTATGTTAAATATAGGTTCATTTGAGCCACATTAATGTAAGAACGAGAATGAAAAATATAATCGTTACGGATCTCATATAAAAGATAGAATATTAAATATGATGATTTGATGTAATAAATAACGGTCATATTTTTAATTTTAATAGGCCAATAATAAGAAATAAATAGAGGCATATTACCATAATGTCAATGAGTAAACCACGAATTAAAACTGAATTAAACCTCAAATTATGATTTGATTTGAAAAATAAAATGACTTGATTTGACCTGGAAAATTTTTAAATTGCATAAAAGGATTTAAATTAAAAATATAACGCAAACAGCCTTTAATACAGGGGCTGAAAATTCTCTCCGTTGCGCTAAATTTAAAATTCCCCTTTTCATCCTCCTGTTTTCTCCATCCCCAACCCTTGTCCTTTTTCTCCTTGATCACCTCCCATTTGTTCCAAAGTTTTTGGCACCCCACATTTCTCTTGAATATTTTTTTACCATACGAGGATAACATTTCCATCTCTTTTTTCTTGGTTTTTCCACCCATTTCACCTGAAAATCTCCATATTAACTTGAGTTGGAAGAGATCTGAGATTTTTGGGGTTTGAATGCTTACAAAACCCTCCTTTTATTTTCTTGATTCTTGTGTGATTTTCTTAAAGATTGAATTTTGTTTGTGGTAGATCGCTGTTTTTCTTCAATTTCGGAAGCCCATTTGGCTGATAGATCCAAAAGGTGGGAAAAGTTCAAGAACTGAAGGTTTAGTTGAGGAAAATTTAAACTTTGATCAAAAGAGAATATAGATTGATCATTGTCTTTATTCTGCTCAAATCTTGAGATCCCTTGTTTGAAAGATTGAAAATTAAGGGTCGAATTTTTTAGCATTATGGGAAATTGCTGTGCTGTACCAAAAACGTCCGACGAGGTAAAAAAGGGGAAACACAAACCGAACCCCTTTGCTGATGATTATGGTGTTAAACAAGCAATACCTAATGGGGGATTCAAATCCTACGTGTTAGATAATCCAACAGGCCATAATATTGAGCAGTTCTACGAGCTCGGGCGTGAACTAGGTCGTGGTGAATTTGGGGTTACATATTATTGTACAGATAAAACTAGTAGGGAAGTTTTTGCTTGTAAATCGATATCAAAGAAGAAGTTGAGAACAAGAGTGGATATTGAGGATGTAAGAAGAGAGGTCGAGATCATGAAAAAATTGCCTAAGCATCCTAACATTGTAACTTTGAAGCATACATATGAGGATAATAATGCAGTCCACATAGTGATGGAGTTGTGTGAGGGTGGTGAATTGTTTGATAGGATTGTTGCTAGAGGACATTATACTGAGAGAGCTGCCGCTGCTGTTACTCGAACAGTTGTTGAAGTTATTCAGGTGAAGATTCAATAAACTTGATTTATAGTTTGAATTCTGATCTGTGTACTATGTTATTGTTCATAGTTCAATTTTCATGCAGTTAATTTCCTGCAACTGTTTATTATAATTTACCCGTAGATTATTTGAATTTATATAGAAGATCTAAACGCTGAATTATAAGGAACCTACTACAGCGGGTGATTGAGGACAGCAACTGAATTAGCTTTCTTTTTGTAATCTGTGTTTAGATTCATTGCTCGATATCTCTAGTCCTACATGCTATTCTAATTGAGCAATTATAGGGTCAATTCATTCTCATGGGTCTCATTTCTCACATTTTCTTTCGTTCTTCCATTTTATTATTATTATTTGTTCCCCCTCCAAATCCTTTTTAAAGAGATCATGCTTCGGTAGTGCTTCAATGTTGGAATTAATATCTGGCTGTTCTGCAGATGTGTCATAAGCACGGGGTCATGCATCGTGATCTTAAACCTGAAAATTTTTTGTTTGCGAATAAGAAGGAAGTGTCTCCACTGAAGGCTATTGATTTTGGGCTGTCAGTTTTCTTCAAGCCTGGTAATGCCTCTTACAATCCTTTTCTTTACCTGTTCAAGTAATGTTTAAACTGGCTAGTATCAATTGCTGATTGTTCCATTTGTGTTAGCTAATCTGTTTGTAATTTTAAAGGTGAGAGATTTAATGAGATTGTGGGAAGTCCTTATTATATGGCTCCTGAGGTGCTGAAGAGAGACTATGGTCCAGAAGTCGATGTTTGGAGTGCTGGTGTGATTCTGTACATCTTATTGTGTGGTGTTCCACCGTTTTGGGCAGGTCAGTCTCCACTTTCCACATGTTTCGAGTTTATTTCTAATGTCTTGTGTGGACACATCCCAAGATTATGAAAGCCTCCTAGAGCATGGATTTCTAAGCTTAAATAGTTACTTTTAATTAACTCTTTTCATGTTAGAGGATGGTGGAATGACTGTGTTCCACAAGACAAAAAAAGGCCAAGGAGCTTTTGAGTAGCTGACTACGATGTTGTTTCTTACCATTTATTTTACTTTGAGTAGGATAATACAGTTATACAAGACTATTATTAAGTAGAAGGGGATGCTTCATCCACTAAGAAGCACGACATGCCAATATATGATCTTTCAAAAAACTAGGACAAGACTCATTGTTTAAACTCTTTAAAATTTTACATTTCTATGCTATCTTTATTTTTATTCTTTTTAATATAGGACACGGCACATGGCACATCAAACATTTTTTCGTGGTGTGTCCTTAAGTTATTTCGTGAGCATCGAAAATTCAATAAATAAATAAGAAAATTGGACAAGCCTGCTGGATTATCCAAGTACTAAAGTGCCCCTGCATAATAGTTCTTCCAATTGACCAACTCATGACTGGAAAAAGAATTGACACGCGTATATAATTACATAAAACTTTATCGAAAGAATAGCATTGTAGTCATTTCCATCTCTCATCACATTTCTAACAAAGTTCTGACGTCAACTGTCTTTGGAAATGCAGAAACTGAACAAGGAGTTGCCCAGGCAATCATTCGATCTGTTGTGAATTTTAAAAGGGACCCTTGGCCTAAGGTTTCTGATAGAGCGAAGGACCTTGTGAAGAAGATGCTCAACCCTGACCCCAAGCAGCGGCTAACAGCGCAGGAAGTTCTAGGTAAAATACTGTCCCTGTCATAATATATAGAGAGAACTACACTAATACCCCTTGTCATTTCTGATTAATGAATCAATACCTCTGTTTGTTTGGAATAGAATGAGTCTTTGAAATTTTTCAAACAAGGGGTGATGCTGTGTTAATCAGAGATGCCAGGAGGGTTACTGTAATTGACCCTGATTGATATATTATGCCATTTTGCTCATTGACTAAAGTAGCTCCTGATTTTTCAGATCATCCTTGGTTACAAAATGCGAAGAGTGCTCCAAATATTTCGTTGGGTGAAACTGTGAGAGCAAGGCTCAAACAATTTTCAATGATGAACAAACTGAAGAAACGAGCTCTTAGGGTAACATTCTTGGCTTTATAAAGTATCCAAGCACATTAATGTCTCTCGTTTGCATCCGTACATGTATTGTCAAAGGTGGTTATTTTTTGTTAAATGATGTCTTATAGCAATGGTTTGTTTAGCAATTGCTTTGTCAAATGACAGGTGATCGCTGAGCACCTGTCAGTGGAGGAAGTGGCAGGCATAAAGGAAGCATTCAAATTGATGGATACGGGTAATAAAGGGAAGATTGACATTAATGAGTTGAGAATCGGGTTGCAAAAGCTTGGTCATCAGATCCCGGATGCAGATCTTCAAGTTCTTATGGAAGCCGTAAGCATTCTATCTAATTAGACCTTTAATGGTTAGACTTTAGCTCTTATTTGACAGGCAGTTCTCCAGTGTTGAATTTCATATTGTTATTTTGATGAAGTCTCGTCTCTACTCTGCAAATCATAAATAATATACTTCCATTAAATTTCTTATCCTAACCATCAGGACCCACGTCAGTCCACGATAATGTTAACTTGTGAATGTGCTTTCTAAGCAATCTACTACCATAACCACATTCTTCCTTGTTCGTCTATGAAGTACAAATTTATAATGCTAATTGATGTATTTGTTCATATAATCATATCGAGTTGTGTGATGCTCCAACACCATCGCATAAAACAATTTTACATTTTCTTTACAGGGTGATATTGACAAGGATGGATATCTTAACTGTGGAGAGTTTGTTGCTATTTCTGTACACTTGCGGAAGATGGGCAATGATGAGCATCTACGTAAAGCTTTTGAATTCTTCGATAGAAACCAAAGTGGGTATATAGAGATTGAGGAGCTAAGGGACACCTTTGCTGATGAGGTCGAGAGCACCAGTGAAGAAGTTATCAATGCCATTATTCAAGATGTAGACACGGACAAGGTCCACTTTCTTCTCATACTCGACTTAAAAATGTGCTTAACCTTTTAATTATATGCACTCTTCTAACTTGCTTGAACTTGTTACTTATGCAGGATGGACGTATAAGTTATGATGAGTTTGCTGCAATGATGAAGTCCGGTACGGACTGGAGAAAGGCTTCAAGACAGTATTCAAGAGAACGTTATAATAGTCTCAGCTTGAAACTGATGAAGGACGGATCATTACAAATGAGCAACGAGGGTAGATAACTTAAAGACGAATGCAGATTTTTTTCTTATCCCAGATACGGATTCTTAAATGCAGCAAAATAGTACGTTCTTTTTTTTCTGACAAGTATCTCTCATTTTATTTTATTTCTGCACGTTTTTTTTTTTTTTTTTGCTTGCACGATCCCTTCTGTTGAATGTTTTGTAGGGCCTCGTGTTCATCTTTTGTTCATCGCAATCGTGTTGCTTTATTTGTTTGAGGGATTGAAGGAATTTGGAGATAATTATTTGTAATTGTAAATATGCTGTCGTTCATTCTATTAATCTATCCTTGAACAACCATTTTTGGTGCTTAGCACTCGTCTATGAGTTAACTTGTTTAATGAGTGTCATTTTTTATTGCTCGTCTATAGTAAAGATGTTTACTGTCTTTTCTCGATTCGATACACCTCCACTGCAATGATTGGATAAATATTGTTATTTTCTCTCATTTAATTAAATCATTTATTTATTTTATCTTTTGTCGATTTAATTCTTGTAAAAAAATATTAATGTGGAAAGTATTCAAGAAAATCATAACCCGAATTGGCATAATGTTTTTGGATATTTTTCAGGTCCTTGATTCTTCACTAACGTCTCCAATAAGAATTGGACTTGGCCAATGTAGTTGAAATGGGGTTGATTAGGAGGCTGTTTGGGAGTGATTTTGAGAATTGATTTTTTGATCGTTATGAGAAAAGTGGGGTCCATCTATGAGAGGAGAAGTCAAATATGACGGCTGAAATAATGAAATAACGGTCAAAAAATCAATTTTTTGGGTAAAAAAATCACTCCCAAACAGCCCCTAGAAAAAATAAGACTAATCCAATTAGGCCATTAAACAAATCATTTGTTAGGATAGGGCTAGCGATTGTTTGTCTAAGTGTAAATTTTTACTTTTAAGTACAATAGTAGGCTTAAAATAATTTTTTATTGATAATAGATAGAATAACTTCTTTAATTATGAAAATAAGTCAATTGAGCACTACTTTGAAGAAACTAACCATTTTTACCTGAAATCGATACTCGACAGCATGCGCAAAAGGGTCTTGGCAGCTTGCGCGGTAATGTGCGAATGGCAAGGCAAAAATCTGCGAGTATCGATTTCAAGTAGCAGGGCATGGACGGATGTCAGCATGTTGCCTTAGCTTATTTTAATCTATATTCGAATCGCATAGAACAAGCGCAAGGATGGCATGTGGTTGGGATTTAAAGTCAGCTGTTGAGTGCTTGAATATTGGGCAGTTTGACTTAGTGGTAGGTTGAAAAATGATTGTCACCGTCCAAGTGGTTGGAGATTTCAAATGCGATTCGAATTTGTGTAAATTTCAAGAGCATTTTCAAGATACCCTTTACTTTTAAAGAATATTTTAGCCGTAATAGGGGACATATTTACGTTGAAAGAGCGATACTTTTTATAAAACTCAAACAAACTCTTTGTTTTACTTTCTTCGTCAGTCATTGATTATGTTTTCCTTATTATTCAATTAATGTATTTATTTAGCTATTGAAAGTTCAATTATTCAATATAATATGATTAATGTATTAGTTGAAATTTGATACTTGTAATTTCATTAAATGCAAGTATGACAAGTACAAATAGAGATAGAATTTGACATTTTGAATGTAGTGAGTCAAAATTAATCATCTTTCAGAGCCAAATTTTAATGAATGATAAGATCAAGTTTAAATGATTGATTAGATTGGCAAAAATTCGTCTAAACTTGATATTTATTCCAAAAAATCATAGGGTTGTTACTAACAGACTCATTGCCACATCAGCTCATATTTACATGGTTTGGTTGCTGATATTATGATGCGATAGAAACGAGTTACGGATATGTGGATAATACTAGTTGTGGTTTATATAAAATGTGGGGTTAAAACTAATTGACTTTGATCTTTAAATTATAAGATCATAATGAAAGACAAACAAGCTAGTAATTAGGCCAAACTAGTTTCTACCAAATCAAGTCTTGTTGTGCAAAAGTGAACAATAAAAATGAAAATAAGAAGAACAATGAGATCGACACGTGTAAGTCTAATTGGTTCGATAATTTGCCTACGTCTGCTACATGGCACAAAAATGATTCATCAACTTCAAAAAGGATTACAATAGATTATTTATGTATAACCTTGATCCCGAAATTATCTTTAAAATATAGGCATGTCCGCTCCGTTTCATCAATTAGCCACCATATACATAAAATATGAGCCACCTAAGTCTTCTTTTTTATCACGTCGTTAACATGCAATGAAAGATAAATATATTAGTTCGGTTATTGTCCAATTCATTTTTAGAAATAAATGTAGGCATGGACATATCAACCTAGTAGAGCTGACGATTTTGAAACTTGAAATGCCGAGATTCGGGTTTTTGATAGGCTGTGTGCCTTGACCTTTTCTACATGGCAATTCCATTAGGAAATATATGAAATCTACATTTCTATTGCTTCATATCTACTCTTATTTATTTGGACTTGTGGTGTATCTCCAGAAGAAAATTTTGCAGCTCAACTCGATGGACCATTGAGTTCTCGTAATAAGTCAAGCTCTAGGCCTCCTTGTACCCGATTAAATGATATGCTAGTTGAGTTGAGTTGCATCTTTTTTGTTTTTCCACAAATCTTCGAATATTTATCATCTATTCGACTTGAAAGAGTATCTCTAATATATTATATTGAGGCGACATACAAATTGGCAGATTTGTCATCTACGTGGTCTTAATGTTTAATTAATAGACAAATTTTTTCTTTGCTTGGGTAATTTATTTTGCATTAAATATAATTTCGTTTTTGATAGTGGAACGATCTAAAAAATCTTAGAAGGTTTGTCTTGACTTGGACCAAAAATTAGGTCGGTAAGATACAAGTAAAAGTTAATTATTTTATTCAGGGACAAAGCAGATTTTTTAGTTTGAAGCATATTCCCTCGAAAAAAAGTAAAAGTTACTTTTAAAGTTAGCCAAACTCAAGACCATTTCCACTCTATATAGTGGCGTGTAGTTGAAAGTTTGATAAATTGTTCATATTTCAGTGTCTAATTGAGGGAGAATTACGAGCTTGACAAACGAGTTTAACTCGGCTGCTCCGATTCCAACGACAGGGCACCCACCCAGTAGTGCTACAACCCCAACTAGCACTATTTATAAAAGGTGGACTCTTTTGTCAGGCTTGTCATTCTCCTTTGTTGGCATTGAACGACAACGGCCGGTGACCGGATCCCCATGGGACTGAGTCCGACAGCAATTTGATCCGCGACTAGCTGGCCTTTGGAGATGGTATCCGGGAACTAAGGAAACCCTAATTATTTATCTTAATCATTATACCGCAACGGTGATATTACAGGTACTCTGCGCCCTCCGAGCTGGTATCTCGGTACTGAGAAACCCTAATTAATTTTCTAGTTTAATTGGGTTTTCCTAAACTAAGTTTCTTGTCGCAATTAGATATATTAGGGTTTGCTTTTCTATTGGGACAGACGGCCTTTACGAGCAGAATGGATGGACGTAGAATCTTTTTATGCTACATATTTGATCTATTTTCTCTTTGATGTTATAATTCCATATGTGATATATCCTGGCTTTAACAGTCTATTTAAGAAGATGGATGGTTGTTTTTTTATTTTATTTATTTATTATTATTATTATTTTTGGTAATTTCATTTAGTGATTGCTTTGCAATAAGATTTGTTTTGTTTTGTTTTTATTTTTTTAATGCCCCCAAGTAAACACAAGAATGATGGCATTCATTATTGCCCGTCACTATGGTTATCCAATTAGAAAATTATAAAAATATATTGATGCTTTTTTACGCTTATTTAATTGCTTTTTGTAATATTTTTGGACGCATTTTTTGGCCCTAATGCTAAGTTATCTCTGGAAGTATTGGTTCGTTTGCAGGCTTGCATGGGCAGGAAAAAAAGAAGCTATTTTTGCATTCTACCGAGGCCAGTTAAATGACTGTCTGTGGTAGGGGACACTTGTTAAGTCTTAACTCTTAATAATTCCACCATATCTATAAATTTTTCTCTTACATATCTGTTACAGTGGCATATGTACACACTTGCAACTGTGTGCTGGCTTCTTTTCCCTGCTATTTAACAATTATCGTTGGACACTTGTTCGTAAAAGTATTGTATTCCAGGATGTTAGAAAACGTGAAAGAGAATTACACATAAGCACACAGTTAATGCATGACGGTGTAAGATTTTAATATGCATGGTGATATTGGAGTCTTATAAAATTTGCTGTTGGGTGGTTTTCAGTACTCGCCTTTCTATGTACAGAGTTGTTTTAACTAATTTGGCAATGAGCCTTATACAGCATGATAGCTCTCTTTCGCTGGAATTTACACTTGATCTGTGTTTTGTAGTTCTTGCTCATCTAAAGCATTGAAAATTCTTGATGATTGATATCTCTTTTCCGTTAGATACTTGATATTCTTCTCCTAGTTCCATTTTCTAATAACACTTGCTACTCTAGTTTTCTGCATATGTGCTTTCATTATCTGCATACAATTGGAAGCCCTCCTATAATTCAATCCTAGGCTTACTATTGCACGTTCTTCAGGGCAGATGAGGTTTGCACTTCTTGATCTTTCATTTTAGACCTTTTCTCAACCTGCCTCAGCTTTTAGAGCTGATTTATTTTTCATAGCCCAGAAAGTTTAAGATTTTGGAATATTTTAAACACAGCCAATCCTTCGAAACTGGAAAAGAATTGGAGATTATAGAAAGCGTAGTTAAAAGCCCATACCTGCTCTAGTCCTCTACTCCTACAGCTGAAGTTGAACCCCTCGAATTGATGTTGCAATTTTTTGGAGGTTGATGACAAATGGCGGGTAACATGTGATTTGTAACTTCTTGCATTTTCTCTTTCTTTTTCTTCCTTTTGTTGTCTGTGGGTTCATATTTCCTTTTGGAGTCTTAAAAGTACTGAAAAATCTAGCAATTGGTTATTTTGTGTTTGTAGTTTCAGTTGTGGATAAATGGCCTTGTCATGTGATAGCTAATTGGTCCATCGATTTTGCGCTACTAATTGCGTATTAGACTTTTGATATTGTTGATATGTTTTACTATGGGTTTTTTAGATGGTTTATCGTTTACGAATATGATTTTTGTTCTTCGATACATTTTTCAGATTTTTCTGGTGGTTCATATAAGGTGGCCAAGCCTCGCATAGAATAAATGCCTCCATACCCAATTTAACCTTTTTAAACGCTGTTACACCCATTTATTAGTTATCCATTTACCTACTAGGGGAGTGTTTGATAGTTATTTTTGTGTAAAAATGGATTTTAGAATAGCAAATTAATGTGAAATGTGTGGTTGAAAAATAAGGAAAAAATTTTAATTTGTGTGTAATATTATTTTAATAAAAAATGTGTGGTTGAAAAGAAGAGAGAAAAATGCATTTTGAAAAAAAAAAATGGCTACCAAATGAGCCTTAGATAAGATATGCTTCCATAACATTTGCCATGTAAGGAAGAATTAATGTGCAGGGAATGGTTTTAGAGCTCGTTACGAGTTTCCTTTTAGTATCTTTGCTATTTCGGTAACAAGGTTCCTCAAGTATGCTTCTTTGACATTCTTGTTTTGTAGGACTCGTTCATTGACCTTCATCAGATGTGAAGATTGTGTGGGTAAGTTAAAATGATTTCTTGTGCCAGTGGATGGATTCTTTATTGATCATCGCTTTTTGTGCAATGGGTTTGTTACCAATGTTTGGCTTCCATTTTTTGAAATGAAAATGGATAGAATAGGGGTTATTTATTTTTATTTTTTTCCTGAAAAATGAGTGGTAAAAAAAGAAGGAAAAACTTTTGGTTTACGTATAATATTATTTTATGGAAGATTATGTGATTGAAAATAGGATTGTAAATGAATCTGATATTAATCGAATTTGCTCAAATTCGATCTGATTCGATAATCAAAGGATATTAGAATGTTAAATCAATTTTTGATTTGTTATGTTATTTGATCCGCTAACCCAATTTGAAATTAAAAAAAAATTAGAAAAATAAAAAATTTATTTATTTTTTTCATTAAAAATAATAATCTCAACAAGATTTTAATTAATTATTTATTTTAAAAAATATCTTAACTATCTTGATGGGCTTAGCTATTATATTAGAAGGCTCAAATTATATATATATATATATTTTCAAGTGATGCTCCTTTTTAAAGGGCACTCCTCTTAAAATGTTCAAGTGATATTCCAATGTGGGATATTATTTTTTTAAAGAATTCTCTACTTCCAATGATTTAGTGATCTTTTAACGTGGAATATTAATCGAAATTATTTGTTAATTTTAAGCGTTTACTTTATTATTCTCATTAAAAAATCATAGTCCCAATAAGATTTTAATTACAAACAATATTAATTTTAACAAAGTAAATTATTTTGGACATATTAATTGTTAGTTTTTTATGTTATAAAACAAATTATTATGATAAATCTAATGAATAAATTATTTATTATTTTTATCTTATTTTAATTAATAAAAAAATTCTTTTCATAATTTTCAATTAAAAATATTATACTATTATATGATATTATTTATTGATTAGAAAAAATTTACGTGTAAAGTATAATACAATTTTGAAAATGGAAAAAATTGTGTAATAAATTATGTGATAATATAAAAAATATAATATATTATTATAATAAATCGGGTTGGGTTGTTATTGGATCGGATTGATCTATATTCATATTTGATCCATTTAGTTAACATATTATCGAATTCAGATTTCGATCGGATTATTGGATCGAGACTTTAAATTCATCTCACATTAATTTTATCGGTTATGGATCAAAATTCAATTCATTTGCAGACCTAATTGAAAATAGGAAAGAGAAAAATGAAATAAAATTTAATGATGATCAAACGGGGATATTGTGATGAATTATGGATGGACATCATCATTTTTGTGCAATGAACTCCTTTGATGAATCAAAATTTCAGTTTGCATCGTTTTCATTTACACTTTTAGAATGTGTCAATTTTTTACTCACTAAATTAGGTAGCAGAATGTCATTTCTTTTATTTTGGCCATTAAAAGAAACAAAAATAAAAGAAAGTAATAAAACAGCCAAAAAAAAAAAAAAGGAAAATTGTAATGGAGTCCATAACTTTTCGAAAAGTACAAAATTTTATTTAAATACAATTAAAAAAAGAAGAAGAGAAATTTCATTTTTTTCCAACCATGCTCGGCATCCACCTTGTAAACAGTTACTCCCATGCATACTGATCCAACCACACCAAGGGGGTCAAACACGATCTCCAAAATTGTAATCACTGTAGCATCACGATCATCATTTTAGAAAACCTAATTTAGAAAAGAGAGAAAAAAAAATGACTATGAAAAATCAGCATAGATCGTAGAACGACCATCGACGATGAGCATTTCACTAGCCCTTTGTTGATTTTTTATTCAATCTATTTCTTTATAAATAAAAATTTTTAATATTCGAGGAGTGTGGACCGTGGATGGGATGGAGTTGGTGTCATCCTCCACCTTACAAAAGTTGTGGCCGCTAAAATCGCATGGAAACTTATATTTGGAAACGCCAGCAAAGAGGTGGATTATGCTTTTAAAAAAAAAAAGGAAAAAAAAAGAAGAAGGTAAAAGTAAATTTGTTATATTTTGCAAACGATAAGGATGAAAAGTGTAAAATTTTCAAAAATGGAAAAAAATTAAAACATTTCATCTTATGAATGAAATAAATAGAGTTAATTGTTCAAATAGTCACTGAACTTAGGTTCATGTTTTTAATTGGTCACTAAAGTTTAATATATCGAGTTTTGGTCATTGAACTTAGGTCCATGTTTTAGATCGTTTATTGGAGTTTAAAATGTCGAGTTTTGATCATTAAACTTTGAAATATACCGTACGTTACTCACTAGCATAATTGTTGAATTTTCAAAAATATCGAGTTTACAGTGAGTAATGTACAATATTTTTTAAAGTTCAATGAGTAATATAACGTATTTTTCAAAGTTCCGTACTGAACTTTGAAAAATATTGTATATTATTCACTGAACTTTAAAAAAATTATACATTACTCACTATAAACTCGATATTTTTCAAAATTTAAAAGTTATGCTAGTGAGTAACGTACGACATATTTCAAATTTCAACTGTCAAAACTCGACATTTAAAATTTCAATGAACAATCTAAAATATAGACCTAAGTTCAGTGAGCAATCGAAAACATTGATTTAAGTTTAGTGACTAAAATTTGACATTTTAAATTTCAGTGACCAATCAAAGACATGGATCTAAGTTCAGTGTTCAAAACTCGACATTTTAAACTTCAATAATCAATAAAAGATATGAATCTAAGTTTGGTGATCATTCGAACAATTAACTCATAACTTGCATGGGGTACTTTTAAAAAGCACCCAGTCAAAATACCAAATTTTCACATTGACCAAATTTTTTTGCCATTCACCAAAAGAGTCTTTTGAAGAGTAAATATCATTTTTGCCCTTATTATGTGTTGTAATTACAAAAACATATTATTTGCCCAAAAGACAATAATACCCTCTTTAAAAAATTAATAAATCCAAACAATCCCACTTAAATCTTAAAACAAAATCACTTTCCTTATCAGATTTTTCAACACAGTTAAAAAGAAATTTCCTCTTCTATCGACTTGAACATTGAAATCTTAAAAAATTATCAAAGGCTCAACAAAAAAATATTACTCACAGTTGGCACTTGAAATTGTTAAGTATAAATACGTATGCTTAATTTCATTTTAGTTAAATTAGTACATTGTTTGAATATTTAAATTTTATTTCAACATATGATTTTAGAAAAATGAAATATTACATTCTTAAATGGATGAATAATTTTTTTTAGCAAAAACGAGGAAAAAAATTCATCTGTTCAGATGCAAAATGTAGAAGACAGCCGGCCAAAAACGTGTCTGGCCCGTACACGTCGTTTTTTTTTCCTCGTGTCATATTTTTTTTCATCCTTTTATTCTCGTAATTATAATTTTATTAATAAATGATGTTTCCTAATGCAGATATGGGATCAGCTACTGTCCCGATTTGTTACTTTGATGAATTTGAAAATAATGACAATGATCGATGGGTGTGGAAAATGACGAGTGAAAGACATAGTTATGCTGCAATTGTAATAACATCAAGTACATCATATGCAGAAATGTACAATGAGATACAGAACTTGCTGAAAGTCGATCCCTCTGAGTACACCATGGAATTGAGATTTCTAATGGGCGAGAATACATCCATTTCAATTCCACCTATAATGGTTACTTCTGAAGTTAAAATGAAGGTTTTAATTGAAATGAACCAGAAACGTGCAATTCCTATTTGCGTAACTTTGATGAAGAAGAATGTCCCCGAGAGTGAACACGAAGATTTCGATGGAGGGGATCGTAATGTGAATGAGTTTTGGGACACAGTGGAAATAGTGCGTGATGATGTTGTAGCTGTTCCAGAGACAGTTGCTCCTCACTATGATCTCACCGTTACACACAGAATTTGCTCGGTAGTGCTAGACAACGAAATAGATAATGACTTTACAAGTGAGAATTTGATTGCTTTATCCCGTTTGAGACATGCGTCGAGTGGGAGCTCACAAACTGGATCGAGTGCACGGTCCTCTAATTGTTCGCGTATAGTCCCCGATGATGAAACTTTGTATGCCGAGCAACTATTTGACACGGAGAAAGATTTGCAGGAAGCTGTTCACCGGATTGCTTTGAAACACAATTTTGAGTTTAAAGTGAAGAAATCAAACAAGTCAATTTATATAATTGTCCGCGTTGACGACAGTTGCCTTTGGCGTTTGCGAGCAACGAAAATAGATACGAATGAATTCTTTGTGGTTCGTAAGTATGCACGGGAACATAATTGTGAAGTGTGTATTCGTCGAAATGATCACGGGTAAGCCGGATCATGGTTAATTGGTCGAGAAGTAATGCACAAGTTTTAGGACCCATGAAAAATCTACAGACCTTTGGACATTATTAATGATGTTTATCGAGAGTACGGGGTGGTCATGAGCTATCAGAAAGCTTGGAAGACTAAAGAATACGCATTGGAGGACTTGATGGGTTCGACCGAGGAGAGTTATGCTAAATTGGCCAGGTATTTATTTGTTTAGATGTTTATTTAATAGTTATCTAATTAATTCAATCATTAATTTCAATTTTTTATTTAATTATTTATCGATTCTTTATCTAATGTGTAATTAATTATTCAATTCAATTGTTAATTTTTCATTTTTTTAATATTGTTTATTTAATTATTTAAATTATGATTATTGTTTATTTAATTGGTCAGGTTTTGCTATCACATGGGAAGAATTAATACTGAATCGGCATTTTTTATTGAGAAGGATGACGAAAATCGCTTCAAGTATTTCTTTATGGCCCTTAGACAATGCGTTCGAGGATTTCGAAACGCAATGTGACCCTTAATCCTAGTCGACGGTACAACCCTCAAGGCGAGATACGGGGACAAGTTGATTATTGCAACATGTCAAGATGCTAACATCCAAATTTATTTTCTTGCATTCGGTATAGTTGACGGAGAAAATGATTTGGCAATGCGTTGGTTTTTCACGAAGTTGAGGGAAGTAATTGGGGATGTCGAGAACCTTGCATTCGTAACTGACCCAAGGCAGTCAATAATTAACGGAATCGTCGAAGTCTTTCCCAAGGCACATCATGGTTGCTGTATGTACCATATACAAGGAAATCTAAAGATCAAGTATCGAGGCAAGGGCATCATTCCATTGTTTAGGAAAGCTGCAGAGGCTTACAGTTTTCAAGAGTTTGAAAAGTTTATGGTTGAAATATAAAGTAAATCCTATAATGTATGGAAGTATCTGACAGAGATGGGGATCGAACATTGGACACGATCACATTTTCTAGGACGTCGAACAATGCGGAGTCGCTCAATGCCTTATTTAAGA